ATAAAAATTTTCCCTTTTCTTAGACTGGCAATTTCCAGACATATGAAGAAATAAGAGCTGAATTCATTCTAGTTAGCATCCGGTGATAAGGGAATGTTATTTGAATTTTCCCAAAATTTTATGCTTAAATCATACAATCCTATTGAATTTCACTTGGTATTGTCTCTTGGAAGATGTCCTCACCTCGACTGGACTGGTCTGTACATTTAGCTCCGCCTTAACTTATCTTAACAACACCCACAACAGCAATCGTTTCTGTTTGGTACAGAGCATAATTTCGACATGTTACCATAACGCCCGTCGGTCATGGGTAGGATGTGAATTTTAAGGTCGTCAGGCCTTTCCGACACCACAATTTATGGTGGTATTACCGATAAAGCAAACTTATAATTGCTTTTACAAAAAGCTAAATTAATTATATTATATGGATAAAGCTCTTATTCTAGATGTAACTACTCACTTGGAATATAAGATAAAGAGATAGTTCACACCTTTAACCAAATAATCCTATCCGAATAAACAATAACACTTGCAAATTAACCTAAACAAACGTTCCAATAACTCCGACCGAAGCCATTTGCACTGAAACTGCATCCATGGCTAAGATTGTTGTGCAATATTCGAATAAACCGAGCCATAATTGGTATCAGAAATGAACGAGTGTATTGGGAGAGAGAAGGAGGCGGAGAGGAGAGTGGAATGGAATAGAGCGGTATGTCGAGCAAATTGCCAGAATTAAAGCGTCATTAATTTACTAGGCAGGAAAAAAATATACGACTCAAATAGAATTTATCTTCGTCAAAAAGGCCGTGGTACTTCTACCCGATTATGCATGTTCCTACTGAGGGTACTGCTGTGTTCCTGCAAACCTATGAGACAGATGTAACTGTGATGCAACTGATGCAACCCGTGAAAAGAGATGACCACATCAGCAGTGCCACCACATTTCGCGTGGTACCAAATCAATATGATCTTATATTGAGGTATTATTTTCATTCATAAGTCTTGACTTTCATCAAATCTAAAATAAAATTTAAAGCTACAAAAAATGATCCGCTTATTTCTATCCTTTGTCCTAGTGATCACATCTGCATACACGCGCACAAACAACACACGTACATAGTTGAGAGAATCACTGCCTTGCTTAGTCATGTATTGCATTGTGGCCTGCATTTATCCACAACTGCATGCACACACCGTCAGGCACAGAGAATGGCACATACGGGAACTGATAGACACGGGCAGGCAGATGCACTCACGCTAGAATTGAAGCTATTTTCCTGCAAATAGAATCAGCTGGCACGACACATGATTCACATAAATTAAGCAAACTTGCTGCCGGGGCAAGTGAAGGCTCGAGACCGAGCGAATGTTTATTGGTCTGATTGCAGAGAATTTGGTGAGTATAATAGCCTTTGTAGACGATATCGCGGACAGAAACAAAATGATGAAACGGACCCTTCATGTAATGAGCCTGCTCTGCACCCTAAATGTTATCGGTGAGTCTGCTTGATTCCTCTCGAACTCTGCGCCTTCTTTTACTTTGTCTTTCATAGTCTGGCATACGCCATTTCAGTCACCGAAAATGCCCCGATCAGACGAGAACAATGTAAGCAAGTGTACACACTTTCCCAGATAGTCTGGAGTTAGGCGTGGTACAGGTCGAAATAACTTTTGGGTTTAATGATTTGCTCATGATAGGATTTTTTACACCAAATTATCTGATAAAGCCGGAATATTAAACAAATCTCTGGCGACAGATTAGTGAAAAGTACACATTTATGACCACTTAAATAGCCCCAAATATGCCATGCTTAGATGCATTAACATTTTGAAGGCCTGCTCGTCAGTGGCAGATAGGGACGCAATAGTTGCATTCTTCTGCTACAGACGAGGATTTTCAATCGTCTATTCGTCTAGCTTGTGCCTTCGAGGTGTCCTGACATTTGGTTGCTACTCTGGTAATTCACGTAAATTCACGTA